ATCTCAGCTCTGCCTTCGTGCCTAGTTCCTTGGGGAGCAAGGTGGTGAAAACACAGCCCTGGCCAGCAAACCCCAGTGAGTCCCCCACTGAGGAGCAAGGCAGGGTTGGGGGCTGACCTCTCCAGCCCCCCCCCAAGTCAGGCGCTGTTCAGGCATCTCGCCACACCGACCAGAGGGTACCCAGCGTGATGCTGTAGGCCAGGACAGCCACCATGTAGGCCCGGAAGAGCAGGACATCCAAGACATAGCCCACTTGCAGCCACTCACGGGCGACGTCACGGAACTCCTCACGCTTCTCCAGGAACTGGCGGATGGCGGTGACCTCGCGCAGGATGCCATGTGCCAGCAGGGAGCCCTCTGATGTGGGCCTCACACCCTCCGCCGCCTCAGACTCCCGAGGGTCCTCACAGCTGTAGGGGTTCAGCTTGGCTGTGGGATCAAGAGAGGTAAGTATGAAAAAAAACCTTAGAGGGGAGTTGGGATTCTTGCAGGTGACCCCAGTATCCGGATCACTATGCAATCAGGGCTGCATGGATGTAGCCAGTCCTTACCTGTGCTGTCGGTGTTCTCCACCTGCCTGGTGATGTCCAAGCTCTGCGTCCTGCTCTGGCTCAGTTTCTTTCTGTCCCGGATACAGAGAAGGACAGTGGCTCGTTCCAGCAGCAGGTGCTTCACCCAGTGGGGGACCTGGGGCTGCAGATCCTGCTTGTGCACCAGGCGCACAATGAGGATGGTCTCTGTCAGGCTGATCACCAGCAGTGCCATGCACACCACAAAGTAGATGCCTGTTGGGATGTCAGCAAGGTGAGTGGCCTGCAAAGGCCCACACACAGATCGTGGCACTGAGCAAGACCTCCCAAGGGAGCCTGTGCTCTCCATGTGGAGCAGCAGCTCCTGCTACTGCCACCGTACCTATCAAGGGGGTGCCGACAGCTGTAGCGGGCAGCGTGTCAGATACAATTATGAGGAAAACTGAGTAGCCCAGCAGGAGGGTGATCTTGAAAGAGACCCTCTCACCACTGTTGGGAGGCAGATAGAAGCCCACGATGTCCATGACCATCAGGAAGATACTGGGGAGCAGCAGGCTTACGGTGTAGAAGAGAGGGCGTCTCCGGATGACTACCTGTGGGTCAGAGAGACAGGAAAGGCTCAGTAAAGAGTTGGAATGAGGGCTTGAGCCTGTGCAGCTCTCTGCCAAGTGGGCAAGGATGGTGGGATGTTAGAGGAAGGGCAGGAGCAGTATGGCAGGGAGCAGTCGGATGATCAAGCAACAGAGATGGTGGCAAGACCCTTTGTTAGACCCCCATCCGTGAGCAGCACAGTGACCAAAGACCCTTACATAGAACTTCATCTCAGCATAGCTGTCACTGCTCTTGACGCTGAACTCCTGGAAGTGACTGAGGACATAGAGCAGCTCCCACTCGCCCTGGTTCATGAAGACACTCCGGTCAAACTTGACCAGCTCCGGCTGCCTCCATAGCGAGAGGTTGATGTCATGGACTGAGGGGCAGACGAGAGGTGAGGACCACGGGTGCACAGGCA